AAAAAAAAAAGAGATTCTCTTATGGAAAATGAGGACTCAAAGGAACAATTTTGGTGCTATGAGTGCAGCAGCTGCCCTCTTGCACGATGCTGCTTGCTGTTGGGGCACCAGCTGCCCCCAGCTCTTCACATGGGCTCCATCTATCTCTGCCTTCAGGAGGAAAAAAAAGAGAGAAAGAAATGGAGTTTGCCCACTTTGTGCCAAGTGAGAGCGCACACGTCTGCTCTCAGCCCTCCTGGAGCCGAGCAGGAATGTTCCTGGGAAACATTTCCAACCATTGAAGCTGTTGCAGTGATTTATGTCCTGTGAAGACCCAATATTCAGGACATTTGGTGCAGCAGCCCCGTGCACTTTGAGCCCAAGCAGCACTCAATCATTTGTTTGCTTGACACCATCTGCAATGACTGAACAGTTTGATGTGAAGTAATTACATTTTCCTAACACAAAGCAGGGACGAGGGCTCCTAGTGCCTTTTGTTTGCTTATAGAAGGTTCTGACCCCACCAACACTAAAAGCAGGCTGTGCATCAGCAGACAGCTCCGGAATGGCTGGGATAGGAGGGACAGCCCTGCTATCCACGGTGTCCCCTAATATGAGAAAGCAAAACAGCAGGGCTGAAAGACACTGAGCTGCTCCTCCAGCACAACATGCAATGCTGGGCAGCAGCCCCAGTGCTCACAGCCCCCCTATAGGTGCAGGGAAAGAGTTAAGAGGGCAAAGCACAGCATTGTGCTTATTGCTTCCTCCAGCCCCTGGACAAGGAAGAGGAGGGGAAGAACGAAGCCCAGCCACGAAAAGGCATTTCCCTGATAACAAACACGATTGCATGAATTATGCACCCAATTCGGTCATATTGTGCAGACGTGGGATCTTGTTTACACAATGCATACCGGATGAGCTACCTCTTCCCTCCCCCCTCCATATCCCCCCCCCACTTCTGAGTGAGCATCCTAGCAGTGCTGGGGTGAGGAGAAGCAGAGTAGCACAGAGCTGGGCTGGCAGCATCCCTGGCTTCCCCCAGACTCACTGCCTGGCCCTGAACGCTGCTCTCTCAGGCTGGGAATGGTGCTCCCGCACAAGAGGCACTCATGTTCGATCAAAGGAAATGCTCTGCTATCAAAAGGGAGTCACCAAGCGCAAACCACTGTAGTAAAGTGTGTGTAAGGGGCTGTGTTAGTGCTTCGATCCCCCTATCCGTGTCTGTGCTCATGAACTGAGCAGAGATTGTTCAGCAGAGCAGAGCCGCTCTCCCCTGACAACAGTGACAAGCAAACACGGGCACAGCTATCTCCAACCACAGGGTAAGCCCTTGCTTGTCTCCAGGATGAGAAGGAATGGCTTTAAGTTGTGCCAGGGGAGGGTCAGGTTGGATATTAGGAAAAAATGATTCCCTGAAAGAGCGGTGATGCATTGACACAGTCTGCCCGGGGAGCTGTGGGGTCACCCTGAAGGTGTGGCACATGAGTGGGCACCGTGGGATGGGTTGGGGTTGGAGTTGGAGATCTCAGAGTTCTTTTCAGTTCAAACTCCGTTTGATTATTCAGGGACTTCATTCCCAAACGAAACAGAATTTAATGGAGGGTGACCTCAAGCGCAAGCAGATCAAATGCTTAAAACGTTTTGCCCGAAGCGATACAGAAGGTGTCAGTGCCCGCTGGTCCCACAGGTGACCTCTGGCTGTGGTTTGTTCCATGGGAACAGCACAGCACGAGGGGAGATCGCAGTGCGGTCACCGAGCTGCAGGAGGAAAGCAGGCAGCAGCGTCTGCTGGCCTCCCTCCAAGTGCCCCACAGGCAAATGGAGAGCCCCAGCTTCACGTTTAATGGGTCCCCAGCCACTCCATTAAACAGAAATCCTGCAACAGAGCTCCTCTGGCTGTGCCAACGCAGCGTTCGTTATCCCCACGCTCCCCCCAGGCAGCCAGATGTATTTACACAGTAGCCACGGTGCTGTTACCTAAGTAAACCAGGAAATGGGACATTTGTTAAAAGGAGGCTCTTCGGTGCTGAATCCCCAACTGCACAGCTATGGATTTCACTCAGACTGCAGCACTGCCATCACTGTGGGCATGGCTCTGCCTGCACACGTCCCCCCACCAGAGGGTGGGTGATGCTCAGCACCACTTCAGAATGGGATCACATTTTCAGGTTCTGAGCAATAAGCACCAAATCAGACCTACACAGCCCTGCCCACGGCATTGCCAGTGGCTGCACCTCCCCCTGTTGCCCTATTGCACCAGCAGGGCTGCATCAGATGGCCCCAAACTGGGCAGAGCCATTTGGGCACAGTGCAATGGAGGCAGGAGGGGGCTCAGTGCTGCACCTCCCTGCAGCCAGCAGTCAGAGCCAGCATCCCAGAGCTGGAATTCACCATTGAACTGGAGGGAATTGTCATTCAGACACTGTTGTGATGTATTGAGGATTTGGAACTACAGATAGCACTGATGCTAGCAACCTGCAGCAGGCAGGTGGAGCTGGAAGGAGCCACCAGCACTGGAAAACCCTTCAGGGACCATCAAATCCCTCTCAGAGTGCCTCAATGTGAGGACCTGACATGAGCAGCAATCAGTGCCAGCTCCATCAGCAGCGTGAGGGAACAGAGCTCAGAACCTTGTGCAGCCCCTCCTTGTCCCTCCTGCATGCATCACTGGGTGCCCCATGCGGTTCTGACAGTGCTTTAAGATGCCTGAAAACCCAGCAGCAGCTCAACCCTGTCCCACCATCGCTGGACATCACCTCTCCCTCTGCACTCAGGTGTCAGCCAGGATCGCAGTTCCTCCTGCTCTACTCTGTGCTCCTCTGCCCTGCTTTTCAATTTCAGAGTTCTGGCAGATCACTGATTAATTCAAGCCTGTTTAATAACCCTTCTGTTTAGATGAAACAAGCTGTCTTGTTTTCTTTATTTGCAACGCTAACTCTTGTTTCTTCACTAAGGATCTTTCTGTCATTTATAAACTTCTGCCTCTCCAAGCAGCCTGACAGTATGGATGGTGAAAGCATCTGCTGAGGTCCATGTGTGACACTGGCCAGCAGTCACAGCACAGGGGCTGCACAGCATGGTCTGAAGGCAGAGCTGTCCTGCACAC